TATATACGGTGTACTTAAACGATCTTTGTGGGTATGTCAAGGCCTGAGTAGGCAACCTCAAGGAATAAAATTACTTTGCGTTAAATGAGATCGCTTATATCGCATTTAACGTCACTATCTGATGATGACGCATATTTCAAAGTCTTTTAAACACAGAATAGCAGGAAATTTGTGTTATTCCCCCGATGCAGGGAAGTGGTTACTTCCAGTTTCTCATAGATGGCTGGCGTAATTTTCGTCCTCGAAGTATCAATCGCTAAAACGTGAAATGAGATAGAATACGTGAGAAAAACGGAGGAAGACAGAAATAAGAAAGAAGATAAATTAGTATACTGAACACTAAATGTTCAACGAGCATTTTTCACTGATAAAACATGAATCTCTAAGTACAATACATCTTCCAGCAGTGCTAACAATGTGTTGTCATGGTTACCGTACTATTTTGTTTAGTCCTCTTCCAGCAAGAATCAGAATAAGTGCAGATGCTGTGTTTCAGCAATAAGAGGATTCGATCAGGATTTGTTATCCATCCAAATGATTAATATTATTCAGGTGTAGTGTATTATTTCTATGTCTTGTAGTTAAGTGTGGTAAACTCCCTTCCATTGTGATGGTTTTTAACTGTTTAAATATTAATTACCTAACCACATGGTTTATTACATTATGTAGAAAATACAAAATGTTATTGAAAAGATTATAAGCACTATGAGTGTTTATATGTTAACATTGTACATACAAAGAATTATGTACTTCTTTCCCAATTTCGTTTAAATTCATAACATACTTAACTGATATTTATTTATGTACATGCACTGGACGATGGACAAGTTTGTTGTCAGATTCATAAATAAGACTGTATACCCCCCAGGCCTGCAAATTTCCTGACTTAAAGGCTCCATCATGACGCCTAAATGACCAATGCACATATATGGTTCAATCGAACTTGTCATAGTGTAAACAACACAGCAAGCCACGAATAAACACGGACAATATTAAGAATCTCCATTCTCAAGATAGACAGGCGGCACAGGATCAGCCACCTCCAAGAAAGACAATAGGAGAATTGACATGAACCTGCCTGGTTTATAAATTTTAATCTTAAACTAAAAAGTTTTTAAAAAACTTTAAAAATTTTAATACCAGGAAGGCTGCTGTGACTGTGAAAAGTCGAACATTATGTACATTGTGTATTTCAGACATTATATGTGTATGTATATAATTTAACATCTATTGTAATAGTAGTTTCCGGAAAAAAGTATTGATGCCCTCTGAGGATGATCCGTAGGGATCGAAACATGTAAGGGTGATGAGCTTTCAAGTGATAAAAATTAAATAGTCACACTAGACGGAACTGGTTTTCTCTTTGTCTTTGTACGCCTAAAAGTGTCTTCCTCTTATATTAATCGTTAGTAATTTATTTTCCTTTGTTTTATCACTGTTGATTTTCATGTCCTTCGCTCCTTTCTCCTTTACTTCCTTACTTTTATTTGTTCGTCCTATCGTCAGTTCTCCATTTTCTTCCTATTCTTCTGTAATACTCTCTCCTTAATTACTTACAGTCTATATTTTTGTGCATTATATTTCATTTTCGTCAACGTACTAGCATTGACAGAAGATATTTTACGGGTTTCTCTCTTCGAAATAACGATTTGGGGTTTCGTAGAGCGTGAATAGAACTGGAATTTATTTATACACGTATATGAGAGACGTCTTTATTTCATTCTGGAAATAACGGCTACAAAATTTCCCATATGAGGTACTACGTTTTTTAGTCTGTTATTTGGAGATGGCTCCTGTATTTATAAGAAATTTGTGCAGGCCTGTATGTATATACATCCTTAAATTAATGTAAATATTAATTAATTAATTTAACATTATATAAGTATTTATAACAGTTTTATTTAATTAATTATAATAACATACAATACTTCTTTCGTATTGGATTTCATTTGTATATATTTAAATGCATAGACCCTAATATGACAATACAGAAAGTATAATTGTCTTGTGACTTAAAGTTGCCTTGAAGCGAGTTTGAGCATTCCATAATCCGTAGTCTTCTGATTGGTTATTCACTAGTAAATGAGGCTCACTCTAAACTTAAGCTTTCATATCATCAAATGAAAATGTATGTGTGTCAGTTAGCTTCCAGGCATATGTTTCGTTAGAAGGAACACATATTTTATATGAGTGTTAATTAAATGTAAATTTAACATCATATTATGTTACCGCAATTAAATCAAATTTAAAGGGCTTTTTAATATAAATCTAAAAAAAAATAGAAGAAAACTCAGATATTCTGGAAATTTTTGTATATCATGGAAAATTTTGTCTGAATATTTATTCTGCACTGCATGAGGCAAACATGTATTCTAGGTTTGATTATTATGTTCTTCAAGCTGTACACCGTCACCTATAATTCATTTATTATTATTATTTATATATTTTTATTAACATATTTATTTGTCAGGTACATAGTTTCATTTAGGAGAAGGGTGAACATAAAGTTTAGACGCCTCTATTAATATTGTAGTGTAAGAAGGTGTGCAGTTCTTCATACCCGCATTTACATCCAACGTTTAGAGTTATCATTAAAGAGGTAACCCATTTCGAACATTCTTGGGTTCATTTCATCGTTTCAGGACGTATAAATTTAAAGGCGAAAAGAAATCAATATAGCCGTGATGTGTATATTAAGGAACGTAACATTTAAATCGCTAATGAAACCATGATTTCATATGGAAAATATAAAGCAAATTTACGAAATGTAAGACACGAAGTATATACCAGAAGATCTGAGACACTTGACATTGCCTCAAGTTTTGTGTTGGTGTGTTGTTGTGTGCTAATTAATTAAGCTATTCTACACTGCTGTTTAGTGAAATATCTGTTATTATACATGTTTCATTATGTGAAATCTAGTGTTTATTTATAGATAATTAATTTATACTACTAATATATCTTTAATTATGTAAATATTACTCAGTTAAGAATAATAGTTTCATCAAATTTAAAGATTCGGGATATTTTAATAACTGTTAAGAATTATATTATGTATTAGCGGCAAATATTAGTGTTTTTACGGTAAGGTTATGTTAATATCGTAATAAATCTGAAAGTGACGTATGCGCATATAAATATTACAGATTTCTGTCTCTTGTGGTTACACTGAGAATTGTATATTTCGGAAGCCGTTGTTGTAATTGAACTTGACTCTAGTTGTTCTAACTTGAAAATAAAAAAAAAATTCATTTTTATTCATCCTATAATCCCTGTTTCCACATTTTACACGTGTTATAAATTCATAAATCTGACACTGAAATCAACTTATGTAAGTAACGGGATATATTTTATTTTATACAGCTTGTGTCAAAAGTCTTTGAATTGTGATTGGGGTACTCCTTACTTCCAGATATCAGAGGGGTGATCTCTGAAACATTGTACATTTGACATGAGAACCATTTTTAGGTATAAAGTAGCATAGGCATCTATATATCTATAGGAAACGGGTGTTTTGAAAATGTGGCACAATTCAGATATTTGGGAACACCGATAACAGATCGAAACCTGGTTCAGGAGGAAATTAAGAGGAAATTTAACTCAGGTAATGCTTGCTACTGTTAAGTTCAGAATTTTTGTTTTCTCGTCTGCTGTCCAAAAGCTTAAAAATTAGAATATGCAAAACTATAATTTTGCCTGTGGTTTTGTGTGGGTGTGAAACTTGGTCTCTGACATTAAGGGAGGAACATAGACTGACGGTGCTTGAGAACAGGGTGTTGAGGAGAATATTTGGACCGAAGAGGGATGAAGTGACAGGAGGGTGGAGAAAACTGCATAATGAGGAGCTTCATAACTTGTCCTCATCTCCAAGTATAATTAGAATGATCAGGTCAAGGAGGATGAGTTGGGCAGGGTATGTAGCACGAATGGGGGAGACGAGGAATGCATATAGGATATTGGTGGGAAAGCCAGAACGAAAGAGACCACTGGGAAGACCAAGGTGTATGTGGGTAACAATATTAAAATGTATCTTAGAGAGATAGCATGGGATGGAATTGATTGGATTGATCTGGCTCAGGATAGGGAACAGTGGAGGACTCTTGTGAACACGGTAATGAACCTTCGGGTTCCTTAAAATACAGGGAAACTCTTGAGTAGCTGCAGAATTGGCGGCTTCTCCGGAAGGGCTCAGCTCCATAAGTAAGTAAGTAGTCCACTGAAAGTCAACCGATGCTTCGGAGGGATATGTCACCTCTATCTTCAGAGTATAAGTGTAAGAAAATGAAGGAACCAGTATGAAGCAGGTAGCAAGCAAATATACCGTTGGCACGTGGTAGCGTAGTTGTTTGAGGCACTATGCTACAAGTCGGAAGGTCGCGGGTTCGATTCCCGATGAGGTCATTGGATTTTTCAGTTGATCTAATCCTTCCAGCCGCACTATGGCCCTGGAGTCGACTGAGCCTCTAACAGAAATGAGTACCACGAATCTTCCTGGGGGTAAAGGGCAGCCGGGACGTAAAATTGACAACCTCATCGCCATCTGTGAGCCGATTGTCTAGAAGATGTGGGCCAGATCATTGAAGGTCGCAGTGCAAGGGTCGGATTTTATGGACCAGCCCTTACACATACACACACTACTACTGTTACTAGAAACTGTGTGAGCCTCGACGTCTCACAACACAATGGGCCTCCAAGGACTGTTACAGGGATAACATTCCTTTTTTGCCAGGTATAGTGGAATGCTCATTTAACTCTGCAGCTAATGTATACCAAATTCACTTCAATGTGATTCGTGTAACCGTATAAGCTAATTGTGATAAATATGATATGGTCCTAAAAGAATGGTGGGATTTCATTGCCGTATATATCCGTCAGTTTTTGGTGATGAAAAGCAAAACTATACGGTTTCATAACGCGGCTCTGAAATTTTCATTTTGTATATCGCGCTCTTTCCTAGTTCCATCTCCGACAGTTAGGCGGCGTGAAATGTAAGATGGCGACGCAGCAGTAGAAGTACTAATGCGTGCTGCGATTTGATGTGTCTAAATCCATCGCTACAGTGCTCCGTGAATTTCGTGTACGCCACAGGAAAACAACATTATCAGATGGTACCGGCAGTTTGTGGACAGTGGGTGTGGTTCTCCGAAAATTAACGTATTCTGTGCTGTCTCTCAACAAAAAGTGTACTGGCCTTTTTTCTTCGCTGAAGCAACGGTGACTGGGAACACCTACCAAAACATGCTGGAAAATTTGTTGTTTCCAGAACTGGCCAATGATTCCAATGACTACATTTTCCAACAGGACGGTGCTCCCCCACATTTCCATCGCAGTGTGAGAGGTTTGCTTAATCTGGTCCTTCCGCAATGATGGATTGGACGTACTGCAGGTGAAGATGCCCCCCTTCTCCGGTGGCTACCCCGGTCCCCAGTCATAACTACATGTGATTTCATCTTGTGGGGGTGCGTGAAGAACATGGTTTATGTACCCCCATTGCCACAATCGCTCCAGGATCTCCGAAACAGAATCAATCGTGCTGTGGAGACCATCACACCTGAAATGCTGCAGCGGGTGTAACAGGAATTCGACTATCGCATTGATGTGTGCCGGATAACGAAAGGTACGCACATAGAAGCACTTTGATGGATGCACATAAAATTTGGACAGTTAAGCTTCCAATTGACACATGTTATGATTGTACACGGTAAGAAATACGAAATATATACGTATCTGAAATCCCACCATTCTTTTAGGAACACCCAGTATAAGAAAAGGAGAATGGAAGGAAATACCCTTCCCTATAAATAAGTTTTATATATCCCTTTTACATTTCTTTAGATATGGTTAGTGCAGTCAGTATAGCGACTGGCTACAGGCTGGACATCCAAGGAGTTGGAGTTCGAGTCTCTGTGGGGGCAAGAATTTTCACTTCTCCATATCTTCAAGACCGACTTTGGGGCATAACCAGCCTCCTATCCAATGGGTACCGGGGATTCTTTTTCTGGGGATAAAGTGACTGAAGCATGAAACTGACCACTCACTTGAACTGCTGCAGAGGTCTAGAAAATGTGGGTCTCTACAACCATTCCCCCACAAATGCATAGTGCTTAATTAGTAGAGCATAGGGACAACTTTACCTTTTTTTAATAATTCATCCATTTGTTTAGTAATTTTCTTGTAATGAAATTATTTCAATAAGACTAGAGAGGTGAAGTGAGAGAAATTTAATGTTAGTGTAGATTGCTATATCCTGGAGGCTGGAGAAGACCACAAGGGGCGAGGGATCCATGTGATTGTACTGAACATGGCAAGTGGGAGTGTGATGGCCAAGCGTAAGTTCGATACGTACTCACCACACGAAGACGAAGCCATGACACTCTTTCTGAACATGGTTTCTGATGGTAGAGTCGTCATATTCGCCATAAAGGTACGCTGTAACAGCTGTGAGACAATTGAAGGTTGATTTCTTAGGATCTCCAGTATTGCTTCGTTAAACTAACTCCATGAAACAGCCCTTCTTGAGGATCCGCCAATTCTGCGGCTACTCAAGAATTTTCCTATATTTTATGCAACGCTAAGGTTCATTACCACGTTCACGAGAGCCCTCCATGGTCCCTATCCTGTGCCAGACCAATCCAATTCATACAATCCCATCCTATCTCTCTAAGATCCATTTTAATATTGCCCACCCAACTACACCTTGGTCTTCCAAGTGGTCTCTTTCCTTCTGGCTTTCCTATCAATATCCTATATATATTCCTTGTTTCCCCCATTCGTGCTACATGCCCTGCTCACCGCATCCTCCTTGACTTAATCATTCTAATTATGCTCGGTGAAGAGTACAAGTTACAAAGCTCCTCATTATGCAGTGTTACTCATATAAATTTAGTTTAAATTTATAATTTGTGCTAAACATGCCTACATTTTCACTAAGTCTTATTGTTTTGGAGATGTTTAAATTAAAGAATACAAATGCATCAGAATTATTACCTGTGCACCAATCTTGTCATTCTTGATTAAAATATTAGCTTATTTAATTCATCTCATCATGTCTACAGTTAATCAGACCATTTTCATCCCAATTTCTCCCTCATAGACCTGTGTATGTTGTGTTATGTTAACAGATAATTTATTTCTAAATTACATAACTTCAGAACATAATAGACAGCATGTATGTTGTACAGAAATTAACTGTAAAGTTATTACTGTAACATTAATATTTCTGACATCTGAAATTTCTGGAGCTTGACAGATATGTCACACTCAAACAATTTTAAATCCCTCAATACATATTAAGATGTTCAGAAATATAGTCCTCTGAATGTAAGCTGTCTCAGTGTTGTTTCTTCTGGATTTCTGACATTCACAATGGCTGACTTACAGGATGAAGGAACATTCCAGATGAAGCGTGCCAGCCATAGACCTCCTGAAGAGACTGGGTTCAAAGCGAGCCCAGATAATTGGATGGAGAGACATGTGGGCCATGGTAAGCCAGAAAAGTGCCAAGATGTTCACAGAGTCTTACAGTAAGAGTACTGAGTTCAGCACCTGGAGAGCTCCTGTAGTTCTTTGTGAAAAGATACCGCTCATGCCCATTGAAGGTAGAACCATGTTCAGGTGTTCAGCAAAAAGTAAGAATGATAAGTTTACCTGGAGGTCAGGCCTGCCTGTCTGTGCTTAACACTAATTGCCACCAGTATGTACTGTTACCTATCACTGCTCCTTAAGTTCTACTCCTTACTACTTGGTGCTATTGTATGCTGTTACTATGGAGACCCATATTATTGGTTAATTTTTTGTAATCTGTATGGATAATTGATAAGACATGCAAATGTAAACATATATCAGTTCAGAAAGTGAGTGTGATTGGACAGACACAGAAGAGAATAGTCAAAGAAGAGAGTTTTGTAATCATATCGAGGGTTGTGGCAGCATCTGCAGCTGCACGGATCCTGCGCCATTGTTGTTTAACCCTAAACCAGTGAATAGCAACAAAATATACGTAATACAATAATCTTTTGAAGAATTCATCCAATGTATAGAAAGAATTTGAATACAGAAAGTCCTTTAAATTAACTTTAAACTTTTTTGGATTATTAGAGATTTCTTTGAGGTTATAAGGAAGTCCATTAAAAACCTTTACTACCATGTGATATACTCCTTTACCATATATGGCCAAGTTAATCTGGTTTATATATAAATTAATATTTTGTCTGGTTTTTACTTCAAATAATCCTTATTTGTAATAAATTTATCTCTGTTTTTTATTACAAACATCATTAGTGAATATATATACTGTGATTTTAAAGGCAGTATATATTGTGACATGTTGACCCCCACCTCCCCAGCGGTACGTGGCGGTAACGTAACGCTCGCGTTCTTACGGTAATAGGTGAGTTCCCGCCCCTCCGCGGTGACGTCACCGAGGGATATCGCGGTCGCTAGGCAACGCGAGTCAACAGCGGTTACCTCTGCTAGCGTTACATAGCAACATAGCGCCAGGCAACAAGGGTGCCTATTACGTGGCTGTATTGTCCGATTGAGGTTACATAAGGAGCAGCGAAGGCTATTCACAGTTAGTTGTACTGTAACAGTCGCCAAGTCGAGACGTAAAGTCAGCCAGTCAGTTGTATTGTGGCATGTGGAGTGTACTAATTGTGATACTGCAGATAGCAGTAACCGTAAATCTGTAATTTGGGTGATTGTAAGTGCAAATGTGAAATAAAATTCGCTACACCGAATACATCGAGAATTTATTTGTCGCGATATACGCCCGATACGCGACAATATTTATTTCCTTGAAGAGATCTCTACATGATTCCATGTAACCATGACCCATCATCAATCATGGAACTCTCTTCTGCATCTTAAAACCCGTTTCAGCATGTGACGAGTTTCCCCAGTGAATCAAGCCATAAGTCATGACTGAATGGAAGTAAGAATAATAAATAACTTTCAAGGTATTTATAGACATAAGTGGTTTCATGTTCCTTGTCATGTTTTATGGTATCAATGGTTTAGCAGGAAAGTTGCTCAAAGACTACTTGACTGATAGGCAGCAAAGAACAATATTGAATAATAACACTGAAAGTGGTGTTTCTAAATGGCAAAAGGTTAAACAGGGTGTCCCTCAGGGTTCTATCCTGGGGCCATTGCTCTTTTTAGTATATATTAATGATTTACCATATATAATAAATAAAGTGTCAAAGCCAGTTTTATTTGCGGATGATACCAGCATATTGTGTTGCAAGTCGAACTACAATGAACTTGTTATTACTTTAAAAGAAATTCTTGAATTAATTAATGTATGGTTTTCTATTAATTCGTTAACTTTGAATCTGACAAAAACAAATTGTGTCCAGTTTTCATCAAAACCTAATTTACCAATAGATATCAATATAAACCATGGGGATATCCAAATTAATAACACGAGTACACTGAAATTTCTTGGAATAACAATTGACAGTACTTTATCATGGAAAGAACACATCAAATATACAGCCAGCAAATTAAGCTCGGCTAGCTATGCCATCAGAATCCTAACTTCAGTTATGTCCCTAGAAAGCCTATTGATGACTTATTATGCCTATGCCCATTCTATCATGTCATATGGTATAATATTCTGGGGTAATTCAACTAATAGTGACCAAATTTTCATAATTCAAAAAAGAATAGTTAGAATAATAATGAGAGCGGGTAACAGGGACTCTTGTCGACCAATTTTCAAAGCATTAAACATTCTTCCATTCTATTCACAATATATTTTCTCAATATCTGTTTTTGTGGTTAAGAATATGGACAAGTTTGTAACAAATTCAGATATTCATGGCATGCACACTAGA